AACAGGGCGAGCAATAGGAATTGACGAGAGCAGTTCGACGAATGGACAAGACCAGAAGGAGGAAGAATGAAGGTGAGCAAGGGGCGTGAAGTGCAGTGACGTTGTGCAACTTCGAGAAACGAGTGAGAAAGAAAGACATTACAGCTCGCTGTATCGCAGTGCGGTGAAGTGTGGTGAAGTGAAGTTTGGTGAAGTGGAGTTCTATGAAAGATTGCGCGGTGAAATGTTCATGTGATTTTGTAACGTTTGTAGAGTTTGTATAGTTGTTAAGTTCTGTAATGTTAAGTTAGTGTATTCTGCCACCACGTTCTCACACTTAATTGCAGAATTATCAATAAATCTATCTAAATTAACTACGCGATGAGAAACCAAGGAGGGCAATCGCGGAAGGCAAGTGGAAGGCAAGTGAGGAAATTGAGATCAAGTGTAGGAACTGAGGAGAACAAAAGGAGGAACCAAAGAAAGCAAGAGGGAAAACTCGGGAGGAGCAGGAGGAACAGTGGAAAGTAAGAGAACATTTTCGAAGAAATTGCACAGACATTGTGTACTTGGCAGAAATTTCGTATTTTCGCGTACATCGCAGAAATTGTGAATTGAGGAGTACGTAAGGAGGGCGGTACGCATGTGTGAAAAGGACGTGAAGTGGGCGTGGGGAGGGTGTGAGGATGGCGTGGGGAGGGTGTGATGATGGCGTGGGGAGGATGTGGGGATGGCGGGTGGAGGGTCTGAGGAGGATGTGAGGTGAGTGTGAAAAGGTGTAAAAAAGGCGTGGGAAGGGTGTGAAGAGGGTGTGAGGATGGCATGAGTAGGGTGTGAGTAGGGTGTGAGGAAGGTGTGAGAAGGAAATGAGTATGGTGCGTGTGTGCGAGAAAGGCCTGAGAATAGGTAAAGGAGCATGGTCAGATTTGCTTGAGGAGGGTGTGAAGAGAGCGTTGGGTAGGCCAAGAGGAGGCAGCGAGGAGAGCGTGAATATGGCGTGAGGAGGGCGTGCAGTGGGCGAGGGGAATGGTGAGGATGTCACAGGAGGCGTCTGAGGACGGCGCGAGGAGGGTGCCCGACGAGATGGCAGCGAGCGCCAGCGGACAGCGGGCTGCGGGCACAGGACGTCAAGAGGGAGGGTTGCTGGCGAGGTCGCAGCGAGCCGAAGGGCTTCTTGCCAGAAGGGCGGCGCTTCTTGCGGGTGTCTCCGCGCAGCGCGGCCCCTTCGCCTGAATTTCATCAGCTCTCGCAAGGCGCGGTTTTGCGGCCGAGTCGCCGGCCAGGCATCCGCCGCTCCGCCCGCGCCTGTCACCAGCCGCCGTCCGCGACCCCATGCGACGCGCCCCGGCAGCGTCCGCCCGCCCGCCCGCAACTATTTCCTTAAGGGGCGGCGGCGGAGGAAGAACAGGAAGAAAAGCGCTGAGACCGAGCTGCTTGACGCTGGAGAGTTTCAGCAAAATAAGACGTCCAATTTCCGTTTTTTAATAGAGGGGAATTTAAGAAGTATAGCTAATTATGCCATCGTAAAATCTCTTATAGCTTGCATGGTTGGGTAAAATTTACGAAAGCGGAAGTGATAACCAGTGGATTACCAGATTACCCACTCCTGTGATAAAAAGCATGAACTACACTTACAGGATCAAATACCATAACACATTGTTGCATTTATTTTCTAAATCTGATTTCGAAGTATTTATTTGGCTGTGCATCCAAAGGAATCTAATTTCGTATTTATTACGATATAATAATTAATTTTTTATTTGCTTCGCTGTAAGTAAACATTTTCTCTCTCTCATTTTTGATACTTTCAAGCATTTATTAAACTAAGAAAGTCAATCAAGAGAGACCATCATGAAATTGTTTGGTGATCTTTATTAATACAAATCTCGATGGATTTATGGTTACTGAATCGTCGTTTGGTTAAGTCAGGTTTAATGCATTTCATAACAAAGTTCTAAAATAATTCAGTCTAAACGAGAAACTATAAAATATTCATAATAAACTCTGTAACTTATAAACTAAAGCTGAAGATAAATATTATGCTTCCAATAAAGTAAAAAATATCACAACATAATCTGACTAATCAACTGACTGACAAACACCAACAATTTTATAAACCCACCCACTTTGCCTCATCGATAACTCTTCTTCCATTAACGCCACCAAGTCTTCAAAATGTCTGCGTTCTCCCTCACTCCACTACTCAACCGCCCTCATCATCTGAGCACCCCGGCCCGCCCACACGTGCCCACGCCCTCGCTCTCCGCAGCGGGGTGCAACGGGCCGGGTGAGGCGCGGCGCGGCGTGGCGTGGCGTGGCGTGGTGGGGCGGGGCGGAGCGGGACGGAGTCGGGCGGGTCGGGCGAGGCGGAGGAGGCGGGTCAAGGTGGGGCGGGGCGTGCGTGGCGGGCGGCGGAGGGCGACGGGGGCGGGGCGCGGGGGGCGGGCGGGGCGGTGGCGGGCGGGGCGGGTGGGCGGGGTATGGTGTGGGGGGCGGGGTTTGGCGGGCGGGTCAAATACGGCGAGCGTGCGTGGAACCCGCCCGGCTACCGGTGCGTTATACACCCCGTCTGGATCCGACGTACCCCTCTCCCTCCCTCCCCCGTTCTTATGAATTATTGCTCCGCGCGGCGGGCAGAAGCGTCCGCCCCGACTGACTCCTTCATGAGCGTTCCGCCTAAATAGAGAAAAAATTACGGGCGCCGCAACTCCCCATTGTTTTATCGAGGCCGTCATCGCGTGCCGCATGGCGCCACGCGCCGCGTGTGCGCGTTGGGCGTCTGGGGCCCCTGGGCGCGCGGCCCGGAGAGCCCAAGTGGAGGTGATCCGACTCACCCCGCATCGCCACCACTGGCGTGCGGATGGAAGCGGTTATTCTCGTGACTGCCACTTGGACCGCTTCAACCCGTTTACGCTCTTTTGTTCATTTCGCACTGCTTCCTTGTGCTTATTTTGACTTTCGTGGGACCGCGTCGTCCGATTCTTTTCGTTTCTCTTTTTTAGATGCTGATCTCTTCCCCACGCTTTTCACTTGTTTTGACTCGTGTCGTTGCCAATATTCAAATAATCTGCTCCAATTTTAGCCAAACATGGCCTTTTAACAATTTCATCTGTCTTTTCACTCATCTACACTTCATTAATAATTTCATATACATCTTTATAATCTGACTTTTGATTATTTTCTTTCGCCACCAAGATCATTCTTTTTTGTCTTCCGGCGAGAGACCCAAAGTAGGTTCATAAAATTGCGCAGGTCGCATTTTGTTGAAATGGGAATTATGAATTCAGTTCAACCGTTAAATCTAAAGAAGTTAGTTTTCTATTCTTACAACTACAACATTGAAGCATATTTATTAACTTAAAATCTGTTTATAAATAATTTTTAGGCAAAATGTAACGGTGAATAAGGACAGGAGACGATTAAATTAAGATGTTGTACGAGAAGCTATAGAATAGAGGATATTCTCTGGATGATAGGGTTCAAAAACTGACGTCGTGGTTCTGTAATAAATCTTCATAATAGTAGTGGTAATAATAATAAGTAATAATAATAATTAATAATAATAATAATATAATAATAATAATAATAAAATGCGGTTAAATGTGACTTTCATAGCCCCAACTCATGCTGCCAACCCAAAGGACAAACGTCAATTTCTGAAACTGACTCGTAAAAATCACTTCCATTTAACTTTGTTTACTTAATTGAATTTTATGTTAAGTTCTAACTAAACTTTCTGAAATTTTATGTTCGACAGAAACACATTCATCTGTGAAATATGCGTTCATCCACAGAGCACATGAAGATACACTACTGATTTGACGAATAACCGTTGTGCAAATATGCCAAACAGAGCAGAATAACACGCAGTTGTTCCCGCACGCACGCATTTCATCTCTCATGGCGCGCGTCAGGGATCAATAGCGTGCGGGAGCCTCTATCACTCGTTCGCCTGGGAGACTAAAGCCGGCCGCTCCGCTAACTCCCCTACTCGTCCCTGCCCCGCGACTGCCACGCCTCCTCGTTCCACCGTCCCCGCTACATCCCATTCCTGCCCCTCCATTCCTGCCCCGTCCACCTCCGATCCCCGCTCCCGTCCCGCTCCCGTCCGCCCCGTTCCCGCCCCGATCCCGCCCGCCGATCCGCCCCGATCCCGCCCCCGATCCAGCCCTCCGATCCCGCCCCCCGATCCGCCCCCGACTCCCGGCCCCGATCCCGCCCCGATCCCGCTCCCCGATCCGCCCTCCCGGATCCCGCCCCGATTCCCAGCCCCGATCCGCCCCGATCCCCCCGTCCCGCCCCGACCCGCCCCCAGATCCGCCCCGAATCGCCCCGATCCCGCCCGCGATCCCGCCCCCGATCCCGCCCGATTTGCCAAACCAATCCTGTTATGCCCCCGTCCCGCCGGTTCACACCAACCATCCCCCTCAATTTTTTCTCATTCCCCACCTCGTTCTCCCGTTCTCCATCCCTTCCCCACCCATCATCGACCCTCCCCTGTTTCCCAATCCCCGCCTGTCTCGGCCTCACCCCTGACAGCCTCCGCTCCTCGCGCCTCGACCGTCATGCACTCACGTATGGGACGTCCGCGTCGGTTCAATGCGTAGGCCGTGCGGCCACCCGCTCATCTTCCCTAGCGCTCCCGCTCGCCCGCCATCGCCGCCCGCCCCAATGCCCCCTCCAAACGTGCTTCGGCAGCAGATTCGCCTGAGAAACAACTAATGAAACGTTCTGTTCTAATTAAAAACTATATGATGAATATTGTTTAATTTCCGATTCAGATACAATTTTTGTAACATTTCAGATTATTTCAATACTTTAGTCAGTTCGAACTGCCAAAAGGCAACACAGCTGGCTTTGAATGGTCCGGCCGGGTCTTGGCCGGAGATCATATTGGCATTGTCGAATTATTAAAATCCTATTGTTATAAAAAACACAAGTTTCACACCATACGTCACATTTTCTGAGGGAACGTATTTCTATAGCTCAAATTGTCAGTCTAACAAGCTATAAGGGCACAAATGAGTTCGATTAACGTATTGATAGAGGAGCCCGTCTTTCAGGTAAGTCAAATGTTACGAAATCTCAGAGTAATACTAAATTCGAGTTTTCTTTTTCTTTATCTTACCAATTACATAAGTGCATGCTTAGAACATATTCTACTTTTATAATATCTTATTTGCTTAAGGTGGTATCCTATTTCTGACTTCTGATGAGCGAATGATGAACAAATTTTACTATGTATCATCAATAATTATCTTTATGATAGTTATGCCACCACTTTTCTGAACAATTGATTGAAGAAATGCTGGTAGAGAGAAATGATTAGTTTAACGAAATTGAATCATTATATTTATGAGGTAATGCCAATCTCTGGAGAATTATCATGCCTTCTCAACTTTCTCAAACTATTTGCTGTTACTTTCTCAATCGAATTTTGGAGTTACCTCCTGTGGGATGGATCTTTCACTCTGCTACCCGTAAATTTCTTTAAGTGGTTTTTGAAGAAAATACGGGCAGGAGAAGTATTCCATCTTCACAGAAAATAGTTTCTACATTGCGCCAACTGAAGATTTTTGAATGTCTTCAGTGGCACGCTGCAAGCTTAAACCTCCAAAAGTTAATTGTGCCAAGGAAGAAGAAAGCGAGGGGCCATCGTTCAAGAAACGTTGCAAACGATTAATTATTACACCTCAACATGGAAAACATAATGGCAATATGCGACATACTTTAATGCATTCATATGCGTATCATTAATGAAAGGTTGTGAAGATATATAATTGGATAATAGTTTGACGAAATATAAGTCCAGGAA